CCTCCTCCGCCCTCACCCCTTCCTCCACCCCCACCCCGCCACAACCGCCCGCTCGCGGGGTTTCTGGGTGAATCGGGCCATTCCTTGCTTCTCACGCACTGCTTAAAGCGGTTGCTTCTTCCCAAGATAGTTTTTACAGATCTGTAAACAGATCTGTTCTTTCTTTGTCTTCCCCTCTCTGCCCGCAGTGCTTGTCTGTACCTCTATTCTCTTTCTTAACCATTTCCGTCCCCGATATATTCTACCTCTGTTTCTCCTTTTAACACGTCATCTTTATCCTGTTTTCTTCGCCTTCTCTTCTATTCCTCCTCCTTCTTATTTGTAGCATGTAATAGATCGTTTTCCGTATGCCCTTCGTTGTTCGTATTCATTCGTATATTTATTCCGAAAGAAATAAGAATACATACAAGGCAGAGACTGAGTTTCATTTTCAACAACACACAAGTGAATATCTGAATTTCTTAATGCTATATTTCAATTCCATTTCGCTGCTCACACAAAGAAAATGCTACCGAATATGTGTAACCACTCTCCTTTATAAACATCTTCTGATAGACATATGTGATTCCGACATTATGGTATAACTCATCAATCGATAGCCTATAGACTATATCTCTCTGAGTGTCTTGTGTATTACGAAATGTATGTAATTCATTTTCAATAGTGAAGACACGAACACATACCTTTATACAAGTTTTTTAGAACTAACGAACAACCAATGCATTATAAAACTCAAAATTACTAACCTTGCAATGCAATTCTCTTATTCATTGATCACTTTGATATACTTTCTTCTCTAGACAATCTTTCAAGCTGAAAAAATAATGTTAATTAATTTAAACATTCGTAGAGTTTATTAAAATTTCCCCCAATAGGATGACTTAGGAAAAATTGCGCAAATAGTAAGTTTTTTCTTTCTCGCTAATGAAGTCGAGAATGCTATTTCGTAAACTAGTAGATATCAAGAATTAATTCAAAAACATTAAATATCCAATGTTATTGTCATGTACAAGAATTCTCAGAACAGTTGCTCCAAAATTTCCAAGTATTTGTTCGACGAGTTGAAAGATACAGTGCTCTTTCCATAAGAATATTTGCTCCTGTCAGTGCATTCGCCAAAATACTTGGTAATTTCCGTAATCAACTTGAAGCAAACATTTCGTTTCCTGTCATAAGCGTTACTTGTCATATATTTCTAATATCAAGTCTCAAAATCCCAACGAAATGTGCTTTCCGCGTTTTCACAATTGCGAACACCGCTAGTGCCACAGCCACTGCAGTCATTATCTTGCATCGCCCTGTCACCGCCACCGTCACCGGCACCGTCTTAATCGAATCGTCTTTGTCACCATTACCGCCATTAATCAGCGTTACCTTTCCCATACCTGTAACCACCAGCACCCTGTAACCTCCATCGATGTTGCTCCCGAGCTTGCTGTCACCTCAGGTTTAACACGCCTTCTGTGCTTCGCGGACGTGCGTCACTAAAGGGGCGGGTCACGCGGAGAATGAGCGAAGAAGAAGAAGAAGAAGAAGAAAGCGCCTTGGGGCGGGCAACCATTCGTGGTTGATAAGAAATAACCGTGCCTACTAAACCTTAGGCCCCGACTCTTGCCCGCGTCCCTACCTCGTACGGCAGCACCCACCGCTGCCGCCGCCGCCGCCACCGCCTCGTCCTCCGCCGCCGCTTATCCGCCCCTCCGCCGCAGATAGGACGCGCTCGCCCGCGTCGCTGCCGGTGCCGCCGCCGCCGCCGCCGCCGCCGCTCGGAAGGCCGCAGATAGCACGCCTCTTGAGCAACCAGGGCACACATCAATCGGCGAACCTCACCCCTGCACGCCACTACGTTGGCGACACACTGATTACGCCTCAGGCTTCGACACGCAGATCATGTGGGACTTCTTTCATAAGGATATTCCTTTGAATTACATGACATTCGTATATTATAGTCATATTATTATATTATAACTATTAATGAATAATAATAGTAATAATAATATTGACAACAATAATACAATAATATTAATAATATTTTTTATAATACAAGACATGGATGGCCGAGATGTCTAGAGACGAATATAGACGACATCAGTTTGAAAGTTCGCGGGTTCGAGACCTGCCGTGGGCATGGTTGCTTGGCCCTTGACTTTCATGTATGTGTGTTGTGACGGAAGGCCTTGTGAGTCTACTGACCATGGATCAAAGAGCCCGAAAGTGTGTGTAGGAAGGAGCCTGCAGGGTTGATATGTGTCTCCGTGAGGGACACGGGTATCCGGCACGGATAGTCGAAATCAAAATCCCTTGAAGCTTGAAAAATCCCCATGGAAAAATTTAAATAATGTACATATTTGCATAACTATGTTCATACAATCCACTTTGCATACTTTACGTGATATTTGCCAGGTTTACGTTTACTTCACAAAAAGGCAAGCGAGGATATCAAAGCGTTCACTGTCAAAAATCGCTGTGAAAGTGGACAAAAATTATGATGGAGAAGCAAATTCTATTCTATAGAAGAATCTGTCAAAAGGAATAATCATTAACTTTTAGAATTATTAATTACTTACAAAAATATTCTTACAAAACTCTACAAATGTGTCCACAGTAAGTATATATATCATAAATATTTGAACAATAACGTCCTGCAATTCCACTATATGCATTACAAATACCGTCTAAAGTGAACGAGATTTAAATAATTTGAATGTAAGTATCGAGAGAAGAAATAAGGTTTTGCTCACCAGGTGTCATTCTGTGCTCACTAGCACATTTAGTGACTAATAGATTTTTAAAATTAATGAGTTTGAATCCATATTTCTCAAAAACGATTCCAAAACTGGGTGTTGCTGTACGGTTAACCAGTCCTTTAAGCAACTGATCCATAGATGTTAATGGGGATTAAAGATGGATTAGACGGCTAATTAATGAACTTCACCCCGGATATCTTTTGTTTACTATACGCTTCTGTACCGTATCTATCCCGTGCATGTCGAGCACTACCTTTATTGACATTCTTCAGAAATCTGTTAATAAATAACATGCACTGCTTCCCAATTTCATTAGTCCATGACATTATCACACAAAAGCAAACACACGTTACACTACATTAAAACTAGTAAGACACACGATTACGTTAGACAGGTTTCTATTCATAAAATAACCTGCACAAAAGACTAGAAGTATGTATGTGAGGAGGGTGAATGGCAGGTTGAACACTGAACTGGATTAGATCTCTTTGATCTTTAAACGTGCCTAGGATTTGAATCGAGAACGCTGACGTACATGAGACGTCTCCTTTATAGAAGTATCTATGGTGTGAACAGTCTTTGATCGCAAAAAGGAGATCTGTAGATAGAACTTCGATTAATAAAATAATACTTTTGCGTCATACTTTGTTTTTTTTCTCTTAAAAATTAAGCTAAGTTAGGAATTAATTTAATTTTCTCTATTATTTTTCCATATTTATCACTTTTTTCACTCAGAATTCAACAATTCGTTGTGGGCAAGATATGTCATTGTGTCAACTAATCGAAATATTCACCCCTAAAAAGATTGCAATTTCATAATTCCCCAAAATATAAACATAATAACCTGTGTTAGTTATAATCTCATTTTCCTGTGAAAAATAGCTGTTTTAACTGATTTGTGGATATGTTATGTAGGTATTGCTATGTTTCATGGGCCAGTTGTGAAGAGGGAATACAAAAATACTCTTCTGAAAATAAGTCTGATAATCCATTTGCAAAGTCCGATCCATCCATAGTCAAAGATAAACAAGAAATACGTTGGAAGAAATGATGGGCAAATCAAGAAATGTGTAGACATGTGACAACTGATTTACTTTTTCATTGTCGTTTATATTGATGCTATGGGCAATAATTAAGAAATAAGGTCAAGAATGACGTTTATCGGACTTGATACTGATTTCCGCGGCGCATGCCTTGAACATGTTTGCACACAACACTGAAATCGCTTCCTCGCGCGTCCCTGATGTTCGGTTGGTCGACCGACTCTGATAAACGAGAACACGTAAGGTGTCGAGTGCCGTGCCATTCAGCCGCTGAACGCCTGCTGACCTCACGACCTGTAATTAGTCTCGGCCGGTGATTGTGGCCAACGGCGACAACTCCGCCGTCCCCGTCACCTCCACCACCTTCTCTTCCACCATACAAACTTCTCCACTTGTCACCATTGTCGCTTCCGCCATTGCCTCCTTCACGATGACTGTCATCCCGGTCACCGCCGTTGCCGTCCCATCTGTCTCCTCCGCCGGCCATGTGATACAGAGGGACAATGGGGCTCGTTAGACAATGCACGATTCCTGCTTGCTTCTTTCCCGGGCGCTTCTTATCGAGGAATTAACGACACCCGTTTACGTCGACGCACAGACAATCCCCGCTCTACGAGTAAATCGAAGCTGCGGCTTAATTTAGCATTTAATCGCTTTCCATTTACTTGTGTCATAGAATGTGTTCCTAAGTTTTATTTTGTTTTGTAATACCAGGAAAAATAATGTCTGTAATTGATTTTATTTCTCTATAAAACCGTCATCGTCATAACTGGCATTGGGAAATCAAATATTGTTTCATTGGTGGAGGAGAGAGTTAAATGTGGTTGTAATACAATTACAAAAGTATTCTTATAATTAGTAAGATAAATAATGTTCTAAATACAAAGGGTCAAATACAATATGATAATTGTTTCAAACGAAATAATATCAGCTGATTCAAAAAGTGTTTCATTTATTACCATAACGTGCAAACATCTCAGAGATCTTTTATGTCACAAAATTTCCCATTTTTCCCTCACGAGAAAAACGAATGAATGTAAACGGAAACTACCTCCCATCCAAAAAGAAGCACCGATATTTTCGAATGAATTTTAGATAGCATGTCAATTTTTCTCTTTTCCACGATTTCATTTGATCACGTAAGTAAATTGCACTCGATTTTCCGTAGTTATGATATAAAGTTTTAAAAGCAATCTAACAAATCCGCCATTTGCCTACAAAGCCTTATGCACAAAGAGTCGCCACGTATTTCGATTTTTTACGGTTTCTTCCAGCACGGAGGGAAGTTCCGTATGAAAATTGTTTGTGGACATTGCGAGGAAGCAGAACCTTCCCAGTGACCGTCGTCGAGTCAACAGAATGTAGAACGTTTTGAATAATTCTGCGAGTTACGTAAACCTTTGTTTGATCACATGCGATGCGTACGCACGAGCTTTTATCGATGTATCTCGTTCTGCCAACATTTGCGATAAGAAAACCTTTCATTCATCTAGCGTAAGACAGTGAATTTGTTTTTCCATAGCGGTTGCTGCTAACTGACGCAAAAGAAAGTTTTTCTTTTCACTTCATTTTATGTTCACCTTCATTTAATTTGTACAGATGTACAAGTACGTCTGTGATGAAATTGAACACTCGATATTGTGTTTTGGCACATCTGAAATTGACCTTATTTTAATGAAGTTCTTCTTGTCTTTAGTGCTTGAGATTTTGGATTAAATTGTAAAATAAAATATGGCTGTTGAAGACTATAGTAGATCAATGATGCTCCCATATTATTTCAAAAACTTTGAGTAACGTGAAGGAGGGATGTAAATGGTTTACTTGGGTGCACTTTCAAGAAACTTTCAAATTATTCCCTCCCATTAAAGAAAAACTATTATAAAGTTGAGATATTATTCAGATTTACAGCATCTACAAAAGTCACTCACAATTCAACTGGGAGCGTTCTTGGTCTCCTCATTGTCGACCTTTATGAAGCGTCCGTGTCAGTCCTACACGTTTCGTATGTTGAATTATTAACACAGTAGTGATTGACCCATTTCAGCTTTGAGACGCCCTGTTTGGTATCCTTTGTCTGAATAGAAATACTTTGCACTAAACTACCATTTATTATCGTATATCATTCTATCTCTCGGTATTATTTTATAAGTAATGATATGAAAACATGCGTTTGTATGAAAAAAATATATCAAAAAACAAGTATTCCTTTTTTGTGCGTGTTTTGTTTCTTCACATTAAAGGACTTTTATTGAAATTTAATAATTATGTTTAATCTTATGGCAATTATTTTTTAACATTATTACTAAATATTATATTACAGTATATATGAAAATAAATTTTGAAAAATCCATCCTTTAAGAATACGAATTTCATCAACATTTCGTTTCAATAGGCTTTACTTTATGTGATCTTTTCGCGGTTGCTTTTACTGAACAATTTTGTTCCACTAGCTGCGAAAAAGAAACCCAACAGTAAAAACAACCGTCCTGGAGTGTTTCAGGAATAAAAAATGAATGTGTTATTCTTTTGATCTTTTTGATGTAACTATAGAATGTAGTGAAGTGGAATACACCAATTTCCTGGTACTCACCTACGGTTTATATTTGACACTTCTCTGTTTCGCAGAGTAAAAAAGTAGTATGCATTGCCAAGAAAAAATTTATAAGATTGTAGATAATAAATGTATTTGCCATATCTCTGAATTAAGCATATTACTCTTTAACCTTCAAAGAATTTCTTTAAGAATAGTTCCTGTCTTAAACAAAATGTGACCAAACATTTACTTTTTTCTACACTTCTTATCATATGCATAAAAAAGTAACAGTTTTACAAAATTGTCTCATTAGCTTACAGAACGTGAGTACATAATGAAGACGAAAGGAAAAACATGAAAAAATAACTTCCGTTGAGGGACGAGTTGAGTTCGTTACATTGTAACAGTAAACTCCATTTCCACTTTTCACTTTGTCATTTGCACTTTGGAAATTAACATCATGTTCACGTTTTGACTTTTACGAATATATATGAACAAAGCATGATTCTGTAAAGGATTAGGTTATGATGAAATTATTCAGCGCAAATAAAATAAGTATTTCTGGGCAATATCAAATAAATGTGACCTATATAAGTGGTTTCACGCAGATTCTTATATTGTTACGCTCATGACTGAAATGGAGTTCACGATATCTCCGGAGGAAAACTTCCGCAACTAAAGGACACTACCAAACAACTATAAACTATCATAGAATATAATAAATTGAAGAAAAACCTAAGGTCACCATCCATAGATCAAAAATGAATAGTTAAAAATTAGATGTATGAATATATTTTGCATAATTATTCGAGCCAAAATAGCAAAATATAATATAATGTAATATAATATAATATAATATAATATAATATAACTATAATATAATATCATATAATATAATATAATATAATATAAATAAATATAATATAATATAATATAATATAATATATATAATTAAATATAATAATATAATATAATATAATATAATATAATATAATAAAAATAACAATGAGGATTCGTTCGTGGTAGTTCGTTCGTCAGTTTTTGCCCAATGTAAATGCGTCTACTACCGAACCTGCGGCCCAGATACCGAGAGGCTGGTGTGCAGTGCGACGTCGGCAGGATGTATCCTAGGGAGGCGACTCCATGGCCGGGCACGCCAGGACGTGTTCGCCATGTCGCGCCGTGCTTTACTGAATCCCTCTTTTGTGCTGGTTTTTAGGGGCCGCGCCTTTTTTGTATCGGTCAAACAAAAGAGCTGTCGGCGCGGAGTTTACGGTCGTATGTAAACTAGTGCCAGGGTACAACACTATACCGTATTGCTTAACTGACAACCACGTATTGTTTTGCGTGTCGTAAATTCGAGAACGCGATAACTTGGCGATGTACTTTTTTATTCCATCTCTTTTTGTTCACACGATGGTGGCATCTGATGTGGGTTGTCTATCACATTTTTAATATTTCCGCCGTGTAAAATTCTCCGACCTACGTTTCGAAGTAGGTCATTCTTTTGTTAAAATAGTTTATTTTCACTCTATGCCTAGAATTCGCATAATGTTTCATAGACATAAAATCTTGTCAATGTATTTTCTTTAGCACTTTCGTAATTTGTGTTCTGAGTGTGTCTTTATTCTAGTATTTGAAAAACCACAAAATTGTACTCATTTTATTACGATAATATTTATAAATCTTTTCAATATATTCAAATAGGGACATCACGCGTCTTTGTTTTCTTTCGAAAACAATTTAATACCTAAATAAATGTGAATGACGTTTTAGTAATGGTCATGTCGTGAAAATGTCTTCAACAGTTACAAGATCTAGTCTTTGAGTACACTGACCTTCTAAGAGTTAACATACTGATGGAAGAGACTGTTTCGTTTTATAGCGTATTGTGTTCCTTTTGTGACAGAGTATTTGCGACATCTCACTCGTACATATTGTAGAAGTATTAGTTTATTGAACAATTGTTTAACTTGAGATTACATTCTTTCTATTGTATATTGTTTTGAAAATTCATTCGGTTGATGCCATACGTTATATTTCACACATGAAAACGCTAATCTCAATAATAAGAAACGGTTCCTATTATTTTATTTTCACATTCGACTTCTGGCCACTCACTATAACTGCTTAAATACTGTCGTGTGTTCATTTCATTACATTCCTCTCCTAAAATTATAATATTGTACTTACGATGCAAAATATGTGAATTTGTTTTATGATTTTCGTAATAATTTACGCCTTTCGTAATGAGAATAAATGTAGTATTGTAATCATGTCAAATGTTTTGAGTAGCGTTAACACCAGTTCAGAACATTAAACATTCAGAACATTAATTCAGTTCAGAACATTAATTTCGTCGAAATTAATGTAGTAGAAAAGAAATACATTTTCATGGCAATATCAGTTCTATTATTTCTATTACATAATACTTATTATATACGTATAGATAAGTAAATAAATAAATAGTACGCTGTCGCAGGTTGTAAATTGGACCTTATTCATAAGACCTTTTTGGAAATCAGTCACTTGGGACGGGAGAACATGAACACTGCCGGCGATATAGGGAAGCACATTTCTGTACGTAAGCATGCTACTCTCTGGTGTATTTATGTTTCCAGGGTAATTATTCAGTACTATTAAGAGTCAATCACTGGCTTATTATTTATTTAAAGTTATTCAATTTTTGTTTTTTGCTTGGTTATACATAGTTTGGTTTTTTACTTTTCGTAACATATATTTTGAAGACTTACTTGCTTATATATTTGATTCTTAAATCTATTTAATGATTGAGAATGTACTATTGGGTCCTCTAATTCAGTTCGATTTCGGACTTTTTTAAGGAATATATTGCAAAGATATTTATATATTCTGGTGCTGTGGGTCGGGTTTTGGCAAGTTTAAATATTGCAAGAGAAAAGATTTGGGGTAAATTGAAGAAACAAAATTGTGGCCAGGTATGTGACATGATGTTCAATGGATTCTAGGGTTATTTATTTTTTTTATATTGATGGATATTGACAAACCATAGTGCATTGGATATTGTTCTGGGGAACTGGTTCTGAATGATTTTCATTTTGTTTAGATTCATTGTTTATTTAAAGACATCGATGGTTAAAGATTAGGAGTTAAAGGTACTCTCAGAGTGGATTCTGAATGAGTATCTTGTTTAGATTGATAGTTTACTTAAAGATGCTGTTGGTGAAAAGTTACGGGGTAAAATCGGAGTGAAGTCCTCAATGAGGTGTATATTGTTTATATTAGTCGTTTATTTACAGTTATTGATTGAAGATTAAGTGGTCAAGGGATTGCGAAGTGCGGTTCTGATATTTATGTTTAGATTGGTTACGTATTTTTGTTTAGATTGGTTTTCTATTTAAATATATTGGCGGTTAAAGATGATTTACTGAAAATGCTTTCGGAGTGCAGGGTCAAAGGGCGATCGTTCAAAGAGTCCTTCGGTGTTGTTGCAGCGTGGCACGAGGCGTCGAGTTTCTCAATGTTATGTATTTTGTTTAAATTGTTTGTGTACTTAAAGGTATTATTGGTTAAAGATTAAGGCAGAGTGCGTTTCTGAATGATACGTATTTTGTTTCGATTGGTTGTGAATTTAAAGGTGTTGTCGGTTAAAGATTAAGGATTGAACGGTGAAAGGGCGAACGATCAAAGAGTCCGGCGGTGGTGTTGCACGAGGCGTCGAAGTTCTCAATGTTGTGTATTTTGTTAAAATTGTTTGTTTAATTAAAAGTATTAATGGTTAAAGGTTAGGAGTTCGAGGTGTCTGCGAAGTGCGTTTCTGAATGATAGGTATTTTGTTTCGATTGGTTGTGAATTTAAAGGTGTTGCCGGTTAAAGATTAAGGATTGAACGGTGAAAGAGCGAACGTTCTAAGAGTGGGCGCGTGGTGTTGCAGCGTGGTACGAGGCGTCGGACGGGCGGCTGACGCCGCGCCTGGCGGCCGCCGACAAGTGCGCCGAGGAGGCCGGCCTGCGCGTCAACGGCAAGGGCAAGAAGATGCGCAAGCCACGCACCATCTACTCGTCGCTGCAGCTGCAGCAGCTGAACCGCCGCTTCCAGCGGACGCAGTACTTGGCGCTGCCCGAGCGCGCCGAGCTGGCCGCGTCGCTCGGCCTCACGCAGACGCAGGTAAGCAGCGGCGAATTGGCTTTTCATTTGTTGGTATTGGTTATCGGTATTGGACATGTGTTAGACGCAGTTGAATAAAAAGTGTTTTCATTGCGAGTATTTTTATTTATTCAAACTCGCTGGGTATTTAGAATCTTGTTTCTGCCGTAACTCGTCAGACCAATGTGGCCGAGCACTTATATCTGTCTTGACTTCTAGGCTGTCCGGGTGACGCCGCGTCGTTGGCAGAGAGGCCGACGTGTACACGTGTGTCTTTCGCTTGCCGATATTAAATTTACTAATATTTTGTATTTTCAATTCTTGAGTGTCTTTGGGCACTTATAGAATTAAAACACGAAACTTAAGTACGCATTTTATGTATTCACTTTTGGTAACTTTTGCTGCACTTCAAGCATAACATGAGTATTGGAGTTTCATGTTTTGATTCTCTAAAATCCCAAGAATACTGTAGAATTGATTTGTACTTATTAGAGTAGCAGCTTTCGTCAACATACCTTCACTGGATGTGCTGTTTGGAAGCTAGAAATTTGATTAATAATTTAGATTATCGAATTTCTAGTTTCCAAACATTAGATCTTATGATAACGCTAATGCTGACGCAAAATGTTAGTAATGACCATTGGCATTTTCCGTCCACGTGGTAGCTGATAATTGTCTTACATTGTTTCTCGGTGTTTGGCTCTAATTTCAGTTCGGATCAGTTACAATTCTTTTTTCAATCAAATAGGGGATTATCTGGCTTTTTGAAATGGTTAAAGAGGTTAAAGCGCGTTCCTCTTCAGTGCAGAAGGGCGCATGCTCTAATCCCGCCGTGGACAAGGATATTTGACCGCTCTCCTTCACATGTATTGTATTGCGCAGGGTTTCGCGTTGTACTGACTTCGCTACCGAGGAACTCACCAGTGTGGCAGTGTGTAGTGAGAGGTGCACGGAAACCCTTTATGGAGTGTTTAGATCAATCGGCTGTAGTTCGAAAAAATTACATTAGAAAAACAGAATATCTTTACTTTTGATTTCTGTCTAAATTAGTTTTAATTAAATACAAAAGATAATGAAATTTAAAATACATTTGAAACAAACGAATGATACTGTAATCGAAATCCCTATTGCGTTGGTCAACGTAGATGTCAATCAAATTCAAAACAAAATATCAAGATATTTTAGAGAAATATTGTTCTTATTATCTTTATAGTACAGCATAAAGATAATTCTACATTTCGTGGTTCTTTTCGATATGAATAAAATTTGTTCAGGAAAGCCTAGACAGTTATTTCACCCAAGGTATCAGTTTTGGTTTTGTGATGTTTTTCACTTAGAATAATTGTCAATGCTTCAAAAACAGCACATAATTGAGCAGTTTTCTCGAGGTAAGTGTCCATATAGATTTTAAATTCTGTTCATTTTTCGTCTAGTAAACGCAAGCACTAAATTACAGGGAGGTGCAAACCACTGTACTTTTTTTCGCTGTCGAAATAAACTCAAAATTGGCAGTGTGCGTGGGGAACAAGTATTACGTTAGTATTAAGTGGATACTTCCCAAATAGCGTCGAAATTAACACTGTGTTATCGCAACATTAAGTCGTTCTCATCTTCAAACCGCGCTTGTGAAGGTTAGGAGCATTCTTAAAAATGCTTCATGACGCATTCAAACACGCAACCATTTGCCCACATCTCGAGTGAAAAAAACAGTGCCTGACTTATTGAATCCTCTACCGTGACATTAACTGAGAATATTTACGCGAATTTTTGCACGAATAAATTTTAATTTTCTCGCTGAATAGACGACGCGTAACGGCTCCCTGCCGAGCATTTAGACTCCGTCCATTAAGTCTGCAAATAGCAGTATCTCCATTATTTCCGGTAACGAAACCCAGGTTGTGGGTCACGGTCCACGCTATTGGAATCCATTGGTTATGCAAGAGGCGCATCGTACTGTTGACGAGAAGAATTTGTGAGTTTGATAGTGTAGAAGTCGATTGCAGTTAAATTGCCTATTATCTAGAGGATCCGATAGAAATGAAATTCAATGCTGCATTCGAGAATAGATGAGATTTTGGAAGGTTCTTTTTTGAACATGACACTGGCCGTCCACAAGATCACTTAATTCTTTGTTGACGGATTAGTGCGGAATGTAGGTTAAATCTTTTATGAATAGGCAATTGTGTTGTTTTTGAAAAAAAAAACAACTAGAAGAACCTACATTTTCGACGTTAATAAATTATATTTTTAGCAGTGATAAATTAATTCGTAACACGCCACTCAAATAGATATTGTATACAATAAAAAAATATCAAGATTATGTGTTAATACCTTTTCTAAATGAACTTGCCATTCATTCGAGGATTTATCACAGATGATGTTATTCGCATGGAAACGTACATCGGGGAACGGTGTTCTCAGCCCGGACGGCGGCACATTTCAAAGAATAACAGCCTATTCCGCACAGCGCCGCCTTCGGCCGAGGCGAGGGAGCGCGCGGCCAGTCCTCCTGGCCTTCGATTGGCGCCGTTCAAATTGCGTCCGACAGGTGGCGGTGAAGGGGAGCGCGGCCAGAAGGCCCTCGGCGGCCGACGCCGGGAAGCTGCCGCCCGGGAAGGGGAGGGGGGGTGGCAGCGGGACAAAGCTTCGTGCTCAGCTGCGTTGCTTCTTTTTCACGTCATTTCTTACTTCGTACCACGTCCTCTGGGTGGAGGGTGTCTTTGGAAAGGGCGATTGACCCCATGATGGGACTTGTGGGAGAAGTTGGGAAAGATAGAGACATGTGTGAATCGTGACCCATTTGCGTTGCAATTAAATTTCATAAAATTCTATAATCGAAAGTAACCGTAATTGACATGGTTGCAATCGCATTTCCCTGTCAGATCAAATCTGCCCTAGGTCAATGCAGTAAGTGTAGTATCATTTTTAAGGAGATAGTTTCATGTTCGGATAATAAAAACGTTGTTTGTTCTTGAAGAAATCCTCGTATGCAACCCGGCTTTTTCTGCTCGCGCTATATCTGTACAAAATTAGTTCTTATATGGATAAGTTGTAAATTATGTTTTTTTCTTTCATAAAATTGGTTGGGACCCTAAAATATTTTGTTGTTCAATATATTTTACTGGTTATGTAGTAATTATTATGTTTTCCAGATATTTTGTCTTTTCCTATTAAAAGCGTATTTTAAAACATCTGAGATCTAAAAGAATTGGCTTGCATTTTTACAGTAAACGGAAAGAACGTAATGCTCGAAATGCATGAAGATTTGCAAATGAGAGAGTTTTCCCACTTTTCGCTCTCTCTCTGCCGCAAGGGAACACCGGAGAGTGATCGAGTGGCCCGTGTCTCTTGCGACATAGAGCTACATATTAAGAAGATATTTTCCTGTAACATTCACAAATACAAAATTGTTGTGCACTTAACACTCTCTTTTTACGTTTTCTAAATATATTTACCACGTTCTGTTAACGCTTAGTGAAATGAACTGTAACATTTCGTTGAATGAACAATTGTTTTCCGTAGCTTCATGTCTTCGGTGCATAAACTAAGCCACTCGACTTTATCCCCAACTGAACGCAGCAATTAATTGTGGAGTTCATAACAAAATGGGCGTTGCCCAACTGAGGGCGGTGTAACTTAATCCAGTAAAATAAATTCAAGGTGCATGTCTCTCGCGAGGAACGATTCCCACAAGAGATTCGTTCTAAATCCCGTTTCGCAACATCTCGTTCATGGCGAGACCAGCTGATGGGGAACGACTCCTATTCCAACCAGTAGTTAGTTAATTACTTCACATCCTTCGTCTAACAAGCTTTTGTGAGCCAGGTGTGAACGTTTCATTAGCCGCGCACCTAAATTAAGTCGTTGAACACACTGCGTCATGGCACTTAGAATCAATATCCTCGTCTGGGAAACACCACTCCATCGTATTGACTATATCTTTATAGCGTATCTCGGTCATTTCGAACAATATCTTATACCGTTTCGGCACCTGTTAAACTTAGTTACTTGATCGTGAAGGTGATGTTTTACAATCTGCTTGTCTTAATTATAAAAGATTCGTGTTAGGGAATTTCGGAACGGTAATATTTCGTTTCGTAATTAGAACTATAAAATCTATAGTCGAGAGAGCCACTGTTTCAACAATGGAACAGTACGCTTGGTAAAGATAAGTTGTTCTCTAAGAGTTTGATGCTTGGTGCACATGATTTAGGAGCAATATAGTAGGAATTGATTTGTAACGATATGTTTATGAGTGTTTGCTTTAGTAATTAGAAATAATCAATATAGTGTAAGGTCTCGTGAAGATAATTAACGAGAAGGATGGTCAGAGAAGCGACGTATAAGCGAATTTATCGATATAAAAAAGTCGATTAGTCGCTTCACGCGGTGAGTCACGAAGCGGTGGTTATGAGGTATCAGGGTTAATGCAGTGGGACGTAAATTCATGGTAACGCGTATACGATCTTCGTAACTCTGGCATTGAGATATGATGGAAGTAAATACTTGTATTGATGGGTGGAAAAGACACAATAGATATACAGCATTACGCGAATCACGCAATTGGTATGTACTTTGCGATTGTAAATAGTCAGTGAATTAAACCAAAGGCCTCGTGAATGTGCTAATACGTAATGGATGTAGGAGACTCGCGCTACATGACAATCCATATTAATTATAATTTTGAGTCTTTTACTTTTGAGAAATGGGTCATTTTCCATTGATTTTCTAACTTTCTATCAGACTGAGTTTCAAGAAGAGATTGGGCTTTGAAGTGTTAAAGCAATGAAAGTGCGTTATGTCATTGAAAAAGTAATAATTTTTCTGTACATTGATTGTTAAATTTGCAATGATCTCATGATCTCATTAATCTTCTCGATTTTAACAATATAAATAAACTCCAAAACTTCTATCACATATTTTAGTTTTTTTATTAAAACATTTTTATACTTACTGCATTAAATAATTTTTCTGAGAAAAATCGTCCAAATATGTTCGAATAACTTTTCTCAACACGCTGTTTGCTTCAAAACAACGCATGGAAAGAAATTCATAAATTAAAAAAATTGGATTTTCTTAAACATACATTACTAACCCATTGTGAAGTTGTCAGTCTGGTTACCTTCCAGCGCTTGGGTGGTACACCCAAGCGATCTAAATTGAATATGTCGTGTACAAAACGGGTTCGCTTCAAGTTTTCTCCTTTCTTCCATTTGCCTGCCACTCAATTCAGCATTGCTTCGCAATAATTCACCCAATCATCATCATCATCATCAACATTTTCATCTCATCGAAATCTCGGACTGCCACAATGGCTGCGGACGACAGTATGCATTAGTACTATTCACTAAATAACTCTAAAATAAAGATAATTTAGAAATGTAGTTAATTTTTATAGATTTAACCAAAAGATCTCAGCATAATAAAGAAGCGAACAATTACAAGAGTTGTCTGAAATAATGTTGAAATCTTGAAAGACGAAGTAATAGAATGTTACATCCCTGTAAATTGGACGTAACTTGTGACATAATAAAGCAATTTCTCCGACGTTCTCAAGGAAAGTAATCAGCGGATTATCAGGAAATGCATCCCCATTGCGAAAGGTTAAATGTATGATCCTGTATAGCATTCCGTGTTGCATGAAGTGAATGGTAAAATGCTGAAGAATATCTTTCTGTAACGTTGACAATTTGATTTGCTTTACATCATCGCGTTTCGTTGTTGCAATATAATAATCCCTCATCGAACAGTAATAATTATATTCCTAACATTAAATTTTAGTTTGAAATTCATTTTAACGAATTGCTCGTAATTATCTCCTTATTTGAATACTTTCTATTGCATATTTACTTTGGGTTCACTGAATGTGAGTAATTTGTGTCTTCAGAGATTATTTTGTTTTTTGTGAAAATAAATACGTTCCACTGGTCATCGCTACAGAGAAATCCAGCCAATATTTTCCATTCCATAGATAATTATTTCTTTTCGTCATAAAAATTGCACAAGATAACATGTAAGTAATCCTAAAAACGTATCTAAACGTAAAAATGTACCTCTCTCTACTCTTTGCAAATCTGTAATATACTTTAGTATAAGTAAAATCGCATTTCAGGCTGAGTCTTTTCTGCAGAAAATATCGATTGAGTTTTCACAAAAGTCACTTAAAAATCTAATAAAAATGGTTCATGAAGTCAGAAATAGCAACGAAACATCCCATCATGAGTTCTCACTAACTGAAAGGCAACAAGCACACTCTCATGCACGATCTAGGAAGCTATCTCGAACCGCCGGATGCTTTCGTGTCCATCGTCATCTCTGTCGCCGCCACCGGAGCAGCCCAGTTGGGCGGGGGGCTGGAGGGGGCGGAGGAGCCACGGGGGGCGGCAGTACGCGTGTTCGAAAGCGGCAGCTACCGTTCCGGTGACTCCTCGAATTTCTGATTTCACGGCGTCGCCGCCTCCGCCTCGCCAGCAGAGGCAATCTGAAGCCGACGGCGATGCCACCCCTGCCGCCTCCGCATCCCGCCGCCGCCTCCCGCCGCCTCGGCCCCCGTCACCGCCCGCCTCGCCGCTCTTCTGATGACGCCCGGCACGCCCCGCCCCGCTCCGCTAGCACCCCCGCCCCGCCCCGGCCCGCGCCGCTGCGGGAGGCCCAGAGACGTCGGAATGTGACGTGCCTGGGAACCGACAGCGACCTTCCTACTCCACGACATCGAGCAGCGCTGCACTCGAGATTAACCAAATTCGACTGGTGTTTGACAAGGATGGTAGCACTCAGATTATTTATTTATCGTATGACGTGAATTAACGTGGACACGACACAAAGACCGTGGTTACGACGCAAGAAATGTCAACATGTAGGTAGTCCAAACTTCCGGAATGGCGTTGTGTTGAGAAGAAATGCAGAGGCTGCTGCTGATGATGAAGGTGATGCGTGTCTTGAGCATTAGTGGAAGGAGAGGAAAGGAAAACCGGAAAATCCCGATGAAAACTTTCGCGAGCGCGCATTTTCCACCGGAAATTCAGTGTACTAGGAACGAACACCGGCCCGCGCCGTGGACGGCGAATAATCTGCTTCAGCGCGGATCGCCCGCATTATTTCACTCCAAATGAAGTATTACCAAAGTAGTAGTTTATGTGAGGTCGTTTGTTATGTTATTAATTGGCGGAAGCACATATCATGGTCTAAATTATAAAAGAATTCTCGAGTACTTTACAAAAAAGTGATTTATTACGAATACTCCATGATCTATTATCATAATTATTTTTTCACAACGATCAGGCTTCGATAAAAATGATTACTTAATACTGCTCCAATACTTGTCCCATGAAGTTTCCACTTCGGAAACGAGTTAAGAGGGTTGCTTTGTCACATAATCTAAGAGAACGCAAAGTGGTCACCAATGAACTGGCGAGGACATTTTCTCAGAGGAAGAAAGCCCCTTTTAGTTACTACCAACCTTTTATTAACTTTCATGAACGTTGTCGATTGCCTCGATAGTTGGAAGTGAAAACTACCAAGTCGAACACATCAGATCTCACGATGTTGGCCAAGTCATCGAAAGCAGTTCATCTAAATAAATGAAGGTTGACAGCGACAAAGACCATTTTTTCTGAGTAGACAAAGTGCAGCGTATCGCCAGATGCACGGCTTCAGCAGCAGGAAGGCAGCGGTCGGCGTTGCGCCCTTCCTGGTGCGGCATCCGGGAGTCGCCGACGTCGGCGTCGGGGATGGCGGCAACGGCGCTCGGCCGGCCTCCGGGCCGAGCTAATCCCCTGGGGCAGCGCCGGAGGAACCATTGCGATTGGTTGTGCATTAGCGCCGGTCCGGGCGGCGCAGCGGCGGCCGCAGCGGGGACCGCCCTGGCCCGCCAGCCTCCCGGCCGCCCGCTCGGTGCGGCTGCCTTACCGCCCCACGCCACGCCGCGCTTTTTCCTGGGCCCCAACTCTTGCTAGTCATCTCCAGGAGGCCGTGTCCGATCGCCCCGAGCCAATAGCGCCTCTCGACCCGCCGCCGCCGCCGCCCCTTCGCCTGCGGACCCCCATGGCCGGCGCCTGGCACTCCTTTCTTCCATGCAGGCCGCCCCGGCCCGGCCCGGCAACGCGACCAGTGTTTCCTGGGCGCAAAAAGCGCCTGCGAGGAAACTGCGGGCTTCCAAGATAATTATCCGTCTGATATCCCGGTCACTCCGTCTGGAATTGGTGGTGGACAAAACGGGCCCGCAGCAGGTTTTCATGCGGTCTCTCTCGCTTCCCCTATCATTTCATCCATACCACTATCATTTGCTCTTTTTGCGAAATGACGCGTTGCTCGTTGTTGATGATCGTCATTTCCCTATGGTCGGCGCTCTACGGCTGTGTTCGGCTAATACGATTGATAGTCTCGATCCTGAATACATCCTGCGGGAAGTCTTCTATCTTACCATATCCGGATTCTACGTAAGTGAACGTTACAAAATGTTTTGACCTGTCTTCAATTATTGGAAAATGATATACTACTGTTTTTAATAGCATTCTTTAATAAATATTAATTTTTCTTTGAGCTTTTCTTTGGAAGAAAAAAAAAAAGAAATGTCAAATACAGGTTCTCGTAAGAATTCGTTTGCAAATTTCAAATCTTTCATAAATTGTTGATTTTAAAATGTTGAAGTGTGATGTTAGGTTCTCAGGGAAACGATGTAGGTAGGTAGCTAGTGTAATAATTATTCAACTTGAAAGATAGGAAGAAATTTTTACAAATACCGGCAATAAACCAAATCTGCTCTTAGAAATAACTATATTCATCCTTGTTTTGAATTGCATGTTACTTAAAATTTTCATATACGGTTTCTCTAAACGACTATCAATTTCTTAGTCGCGCTTGCAGTTTTTTTAACATGGTCCATTTTTTCTTCAAAAAGATAAAATGGTTACTAGATATATTACCTGCTTACACGCATTGTTCGTATTTTCACCCTTGTTCTCTACGTACGCAATTTCAATTTTTAACGTCACTGATTATCTCAAGAGTTGAGTTTAAGGTTACGGGAGTTTGGATAGGTTTAGAAGTTTAAAATCATGTAGGGTGGTATTTTTCATACATTGCTAAGTACCTCCATGTGTTCCTTCAGCTCTGTATATTTTAAGAATAGTTGTTGTCGTGAGCAATTCCTAGAATTATACATTGAGTCAATATCCCCGCCACGACAACTTCTGTTCTCCAAACGACTACTGTTGTGCAAGTTGACGAGTTATGTAAATAACCAAGATAACGCCTGTTTAATGCCCAGAGTTTTATAGCACGCTGATAAAGACGTTATCCTTTCTTCGTGAAGGTGTCAGGCGTCGAAAATTAGCATGGAGACTATCTCGAGCAGTACCCCAAAGATTTGAGAACAAGTATGGCTGGATAAGTGCTGCGTTTATGGGCGTAGCGGTCTCCTGACGGGAGAAGATGAATAACTTAGATTAGTTGGGTGCAGTGATTCGAAGAAGGTGTGTTCCGACTATAATTCCTTTGATATTTTCTAATGGTATGGAATTAGGTTCTCTTTTGCATTGTTCGAAAGTTTCAAAAGGTACAATGGAAGACGAAACCTTTGTAGACTAGAACAGAATCTCATTTACGATAGAACGTTTCATAGAAGTATCCGGATATTTCACAAATACCTGAGTTAAATATAGAAAAAATAACATTTCCAAATTTCGATTACCGTAACGACATTAAATATAATTATTTTATATTTGATGAGTTACCTTCTCAGTTTATATAATTCTTGATGATCGTTATGGAGGCCAATGCATAACTTCTCGTGTCGCACAGCGAATCCCAAAATGGAATATTACGTGTTAGGCTGGAAAGGCGTGGAGGTTTTTCTGAGGCGGGACTGTCATCGGAATCGCCTTCGAAAGATATTCGTGGTATGGGAAATGTCTATGTAGTTCTCACTGTGCCTGCGTGAACTGTAAATTGTCTCATCAATGCTTTCCAGGACCAGTTCAGTTTCTTTAATCAGTTTTTCACCGATTTGCTCATGTATTTGCTCTCTGAAGAATTGCAATTAATCTTTTTTTCTGCGCTTGTTTTTTTTTAAATTATTTTTCAGCAATGAATACCTTATCTACTTAGCACATAAAATAAAAAAAATGGTCAATGATTGGTACGACACTAATTTAGGTGAAGTTACGCGAATCAGATCAATTCAAAAAACATCCTTGCAAGTAATCGTCAAATAAGTTCATGTGTATACAGATAAATAGAAAAAATTGAAAATTTCTCCTCTACAAATAGATGGGGTGAAAATTGCAATATAAATGGCAAACTCCCCCTTCGATCTGAAAGGAAACTTCATTCTGAAGGCAGGTTCGGTATCACCTTCTGCGACTTCGTTCCCTTGAAGTAGAGTGATCTCCCCCTTTGTTTTCC